GGGAGAAAATGACCTTACATGTTTGATAGGAAAGAAGGAGAAAACTACACCAGAGCACCCGCCTACCACCCACAATCATCTTTGTGCTGTCGGCAACTCGTATTGATCTTGACTTCGAAGTCTTGGGTCGTCTTACTTCAGATGTCTGTAACCTTTCACATTTTACCACTACTTAGCCGGGGGATTGGAGGAGCGAAAACATTAGCAAAGGTTGCTCCACCTATCTTAGACCTTCAGTTTTATCATTCTCACTTCGGGACATTATGATTTATGCCCCTCTTCCTCCCGGCACGCCCAACCAACGAGATCCAGCATTTGTTTGACATAAACTAACGAGAAGTACCAATTGTGCGCGGAGAGAGGGATGACTTATTCTATAATATTTCGCTACCACAGAATTGCAAAGTTCTATCGGCTCAGTAGCAAATTTTGAGAATTTGATGTCAAAGATTTTGAGTTTCTACATTATGTCAAGTCAAGCTTATTCGAAGGCAATTCTTTGAATATCTATAAAGCGACTCTGAATAAACTTACGATTTTGATGGAGCAGATAGAACTTTTGGTTTTTAATCTTATGGTATTAATAACTTTAAAAATCCAAAAATATCTGATCGAACTTTGTTATTCTGAGGCAGCAATTTTTCAAACCTGAGTCATCAGATACATTGTGCCACATCGTCTCTCAGATGGTGGCGACAGTGACTACAGTGCCACTTTGACGGAACTAAACAGTACAATTTCTCAAGCACAAAAAGGAAGACCATGCTCTTATAATTGTCTTCTGATCCGACTCTTTACAATTCACTCCAGGCCGCTGAGGTCCCGTTTGTTTCAACTTCGTAAATACGCTGAAGTTCTATGTCTAAATTCAAGGGCGGTATGGACATTTTTGCTATGCCTGGGACATTTTCCTTTGGTTTCATGTGCAGTTGATTGAGGATCCAGGAATTCCGTGTCTTATGGGATTTCTTTTCCAAGGTACTCGTTGTAAGATAATATGCAGAAGTATGTGGGCGGGGTTATACTTCAAACCTATCCTTCATCTATCGTACTTCTTTTTTGTGTTTGTTACTATCTTGTAACACCTCACATCTTCGGCACTTACATGACTTTACAGTGTTGCAAATGCCGTAAAACTCTTTACTAAAACTAAAGCAAAACCTATGCTTATTGAATGTATACGTACGACTGTGAACAAAGCACGCATTCTACGATCAATTTCAGTTCTTGCATTGACTGTTTATCCGGAATCTCTTAGAAAATCAACCACTCGTAAAACGCCTCTCAGATGGGAGGTCTGCGATTTCCCCAACACTTTCCCTTTCCTCTGATCCGAGGACTTGAGCACAGCGCCGGAAACACCGTCTATTGTTGACGAGAGCGGGAATTGCACAAGCGTGTACTGAGTGCCATTACGAGGAAGTACGAAAGGGTGAATCGATAAGAAAAACATCTCTCTCAAATTAGAAAGGTATTCATCCACAGTTACTTCTTTTTCGTAGCTTTTGGCTAGAGAATTTTTTGACTTGTCCATTTTAAAGTAAAGACTTTATAGACTGAGAAATAAGCATAGCTTTTTTTCTTGTAATTTCCCATACGCACACATGGATCTGGATCTGTGGGTGGCTGATGGGTCTTCTGGTGTGGGTTGCTCCTTCTTTCCTATCCAACATCTATCGGTCTTATCTCTCCTCTTTCACTTTGTATGTTACACTATGGTAGTAAAACCTCTAATCTCCGGCAGTTTTTTACCTATTTGTGCTGCATCTTTTACTAAAACTGAACTAGAATTGGGTCTGGGTCTTAGTGCAGAGAAGGGTGTCGACAAGACTACGGTCATTTAGTGCAGGGAAAAAAGCAAGATATAATTAAACAAACAGAAACAATGGATCGAAAGGTAAGGACTTATAAGTGGCATCCTCCAGTCATCATCTCATATACGTGGTGGAAGTAAGAAGAATGGAAAACATGAAAATATAGAGGCTTAATGTTATCGTCCTAAACAACACTCATGTATCTTACTGGACGATGGGAGTACTAGAGACAAGAACGAGTAACACAGTGTGGGTGAGTGAGAGATAAAGAGAGAGAGAGAGAGAGAGAGAGAGAGAGAGAGAGAGAGAGAGAGAGAGAGAGAGAGACGTCAAATGTTTACGGGGTTTATTCTCCAGAGGTGGGGACTAACACAGAAGACTGTGTTAAACATTTACACCTCTTTATGGTAGAAGAATTGCGTGGCAATAAGCTTAAAAACTATTCAAACATCGCATGTTTGGAAAATTCACATCAGGAATCTGAACTCAGACGCCAACAGCGCAGTCAAACCAATTATTAAGCCTTTGTACTTATAGGTATTGTACAAATCGTATACTATTTACTTCCATCGCCCATATACTTTTTGTTTGTTTTTATTTTAGTACGGAGAAGCACGACACAATGGTCATTTAGTGCTGAGAAACAGTAATTCAGACAAACAAAAACAACAGACGGAAAGGAAAGAAGTTGGACTTACTAACCTACTAGTGGCTCTCTCCAACCACTGCTCACAGATATGCGAAGGTGGAAAGCTTTAGATTAAATACATCTCCAAGCCAAGCAAACTTAGAGATAACATTAAAGACCTTTGGGAAATTGGAACATATAAGATACGATAAGATAAGATAGTACTTTATTATCCCAGAGGGAAATGTTCCTTGGCTGTACAGGGCCGTAAAAACACATGCAGGTATACATACAAATTTGAATTATATATATTACTCTCATTAAAATTCAATATGAAAGGAGAAGTAAAGCTGACATGTCCAAACTGGTATGTGCTATGTTAAATGATCATAATTGGTGAAATTGGTGAAATTGTATCGATGTAATACCTTTATCAACACTATTGACCTTAATATGTGCAACATGGAACATATTGAAGAAATTACAATGCCTACCCAGCTGTGCGATGTCAGACAGACGCCGTTCCCGGCTTCCTTCAACGCCAGTTAAACCGGAACAAGATGAAGACTTCCGGACCGCAGGGGACGTCTGCTTGTCATTGGTATCTGTTGCTGCTTTTAATGACTGCACCACACCAGTATGACTATAACGTCGAGGCTGCAGGCTGATGCTCTTGGGATTTGGGCTCTTCAGACTTTTGACCATCTTGGCAACATTAGACGTACTTCCAAGACTGTCGTCTGCTTCCGACACGGACTCGCTCTTCACTTCTTTGCCTTTGTCCTTAGAGCGGCGGAGTTTGAACTTAAAGGTAGGCATCTTTGTTGTTCAAATGGGATTGCGACCGCTTGATTTCTTTGACTGATCGCTGTTCTTTGTGCAGAGAAACTTGGGTCGCACTTTGGCGAAGGCCACTAAGGAAATCCTTGAAGCCAGTTGGATGAACGGTGAACACAACCTGAAATGTAAGATACAATTTTTTGAAAATGGTGAAATGGTATAGGTTTAACACCCCTGTCAACACTTAGGTTATTTAAGAGGCGGGACCTCCGAGTTTAACGTCCATCTCCGAAAGGACCAAGCCAGTTGGGAAAATCGTGTGAAGTGCCTTTCCCAAGGACAACGTACGCGGACCGAGCTAAAAATTATTTGAATGCACACGTTAAAATGCAATTTAGTGTTAGACTAGTTAAAGAAGCTGCACCTTGCACCTCTGAAAAAGGATTTATTTTTTAAAAAGGGGTGCAGAGAGGAACTTTGAAAACGAGCCTCCGGAGATTTAAACCCTGATCGCGTAAGCAAAGTAATGATAAGTCAAATCAATAGAACTAACATTGCGCCTTGGGATGACTCGTGATATTTTGAATTAATGACATTCCACTGTCAAGTCGGAGTTAAGAGAGAGTATTAAGAGAGATTATGCTGGATAATATGTTAGACACGACTGTCTGTTGCAATTTATATGACACCCACAAAATATGTAACGATGATTCAGACTGATGACCATGATTCTGGAATGGCTGATAACAACGTGGATTAACCAAGCGTTTTTATTTTGTTTTGTTTCAGTGAAGGGTACATCGGAACGATAACGGTCATTTTTTTCGCGCTGGACAAAAGTAATAGAAATAAGGTAAAGTTTAAAAAAGAAAAAAGAGGGCCCACACTGATGCTTTTCAACCAACAATGTTTTCAGACTTTCGACGGTGAACAAAAAGAAGTACATGCATGTAGAAAGCAGCTATGGTAGGAGTCGGTTAAGTACATGCATGTAGAAAGCAGCTATGGTGGGAGTCGGTTAAGTACATGCATGTTTTACGGCTCAATTGACACAATTTGTGTGGGGCCGGGGGGGGAGAAAAATGCGTCTGAACTAATGTAGCTAAATTTAGTTCATGAAAAGTGAGTAAAGTAGATTGTCTCTGTTTCACAATTATGGTCACTATGTGAT